TTTAAAACCACAGACAGAGACAATTTTATTCTTAAACCACAGAAGTTTCTAGAAGAAAAAGGTGAAGATACAATGCAGCCGAGATCCAATTTGTTAATCCCCCTTATGGAGATGTCAACAGCGGAAGTGCAGCAAATGGCGAAGTTTAGTATGAACTTTGATATGAAAGGGAGAAGAATCAAGATGATGACACATGCTGTAGCAGATGAGGCAAAGGTGACTACATATGGAGTGGATAAAGCTCCCGAGAATGGATGTGTGGTCCATAAGATGGAAAATGAAAGATGACATGGTAAGAGGGGCACAAAATATTGGTTAGAATATGGAGATAGAGCAGTGGAGATAAACGTTGTTAAATATAAGAAGGTATTTTGTGGTGAAAGAATATATGATAAACACAAACTAATGGTTATAACAGTGATTTAGAGCAATTTAGAACAATAGATATAAGATGGCAGAATAATATTAAACCTATAAAACTAGTAAACTTAAAGATAAAAAGAAAGAGAAAGTCAAAGAAAATGGAAGATTAGTAACAAATATGGAAAATTATTATAATTTTTTTCTTCTTTGTATGATTTCCATCTTTAATACAATTATATAAGGGGATGTAAGAATACTTTTCACTCTCTGGAATTTTACCCTTTCTTACTTTTCCCCCCTCTTACCTGGCCCCCTATTTGTAAACTTAAAGATAAAAAGAAAGAGAAAGTCAAAGAAAATGGAAGATTAGTAACAAATATGGAAAATTATTATAATTTTTTTCTTCTTTGTATGATTTCCATCTTTAATACAATTATATAAGGGGATGTAAGAATACTTTTCACTCTCTGGAATTTTACCCTTTCTTACTTTTCCCCCCTCTTACCTGGCCCCCTATTTGTACTATATCTAGTTGCTCAGCACATTGAATTTCTGTGAGACCCTGGGAATTTTCACTTGTAGGAATAACAAATCTCAAAAAACTGTAGCCATTCACTGCTGATATCTAGAAATGTAAACATTTTTTTCAAGCTCTGATATCTGTCCTTTTCTTTGGAGGGACTGGTAGCAGCCGACACCTCAGTGCCTGCACAAGAGCATTTGTCAGTAACTTGTTCTTGAAGGTTCCTAGTAAACAATGAGTGCTTTCAGAGCAGGAAACTCCTTTTTGATGATGTTTACTGATACACCCATCAACTGATTATAATAAAATTAGAATTCTGTTGTCAAGATTAAGGTGTTACATGCAATTACCTAAATGTGATTGCATGTAATACCTTAAAGCCTAATTGTGCTATGGCTGCTGTTGTATTTTCTCTGGCTAGAAGAGGGAACCCGAGTTCCTAATCCAGCCAGTGGAGGCTCTGGGTTCCCTCGCCTTTCCCTAAGGTCCCTCTCCTCTTGACCTGATGGAGGGAAAGGAAATCTCTGCTACTGGCATGGCTTTCTCACTCAGATATGCAACACTGAGATTTATAGTCAGCCATATTTCTTTGTTTCAGCATTTAACATTATACTTTCTTATGACCAAGACAAATTAACCCTTCTTTGTACTCACATTGTGGCTACAGATGAGAATAGTTTATTTCTTCGGGTCTTACTCTCTCCTACCTCAGAGAGGCAGTTTAGTCATATTAATTGGAAACTTAAGAAGTGTTTCCTTGAGCCCTAGGCAACTGGTGACAAATGCATTCTCAGTGTCAAACTGTCTTGTAAATTGTGCTTTGGTATAATCATTGAGGTTTTGGGGTTTTTTTTTTTGTCTTGCAGATGTTTCTAAATTCTTTGGGGTTTCTCTGATTGTTTGTATGACCTCCTCTTACAAAATGGCTTGCTCTCTGGAACATTCTCCAGAGAGAATGGAAGAACTTGCCTGAGGCCCAGAAAGGCTGAGGGGCATGAAGGGCAGACATGGGCTATTTGTGTTTGCATCCCTGGGGATACAAATATGAATAGCAGCACCACAGGTGTGGGGGCAGAATGGGGAGTCTTCCAGTTCAGCCAATGAGTGGTCAGTTGCGTGGGGAGGCAGGGAAGACGCAGCCAAGCTCCTTCTGTGATTGGTGCGATGATGGAGCTGAGAGCTACACAGCAAACAGTGATTGGACCAGCCAGTTCTCAGGGGAGGGAATGGGCCTCCATGGCACCTGTGGTGCCACTATTTGTATTCATATCCCCAGGGATATGACTAAAAATAGCCCATGTCTAATGTAGAGAATATGCACCTACTATCCCATGTACACCTTGGCATTAAGAAAAGCATGCATTTTGTAACTTCAAACAGAAGCAGGTGTGCTGTCCAGTCCTCTCTCTAGAGAGTGGTAAAGTACATGGGACACAATTTTATATTTTCCCCGTAAGTGCATAATTAATTAGTTACGGTGTTTAGAGGGATGAACATCAGCCTAAATTGGGATTAATTACTTATTCATGTGCTTGTAATACAAAATTCCATTCAATTTCTGTAGGGTTCACAGCCAGTCTGGACACCATGCTGAGGTACAGCCGAAATTAACTTTTATTTTCCCTCTTCAACCACTTACTCTTTGCTTAGTATGACATAGTGGCCCTAGTAAACATAAGCTACGTCTCTCTTTATTGTGAAAAAGACAACTGAACAAGTCATATTGATTAAACGTCCAGTGAAATTGCACACCTTTCTGAAGAAATAACACAATCAGGCTTGATTGTATAGTTGGAAAAACAAATCACATCTGATTTTAAGCCCCTAATTTAGTCCACTTTTTCTGGATAATCATAGCATTATGATTAGACGTTTTAACCATAACAGTATTGTGAAAAAACATGCAAATATAAAACAAAGCACAGCATGTCTACCAGATTTGGAAATGCTGATCGAATGTCACAGGTTATAGCAAGAAAACAAAAGCAGCTTTATTGATTACAGCTTTATTGATTACAGCAGCAGTTGCTTCTGGCTAGCATTGGGCTCAAATCTAGTTCATTAGGAGACCTGAATGCCACCGAACGTAAGACACTGCCTTCTCCAGACTCCATCTGGGAGACAACCTGTGATGGCAGTTCCCTTGAGGTCTCATGGGTGTGTGCCACTCTGTCCCTCCTTGCCACCCAGGGGCATTGCCAGGTCCCTGATGCCCTATGCTAGGTTAGACCATGGCCCTGCTCCCAGTTCCCTTAAGAGGATTCCATTATTATTCAGGGTGTGCCTGTCCCCACCTGCTGCCCTCCAACTACCTGGATCCATGCCAGTGCTCCAAAATACCCACAAAGAATATAATGACTGAACAGAACAATCTAACAATGGGACACCCACAAACCCAGTTCCTGAAACAACAAAACAAAGTGGAACAAACACTGAACCTAAACTGGGTGGGAGGGGAAGATGACACTGCCAAGAATCAAGTGCATTCTAGCCGGAGTTCAGTTTATTCCAGGTATGTCAAATTTACTAGTCCTAGAATCTAGAAATGTGCCTTAAAAAGAGAGAGAGAAAAAAAATAAAGGATAACCAGAAAGTCAGATTAGTGGATCTAGAAGGTTGCCTTTTAAAGTAAAAAAAGATTGGCAGGTTGGCAGCTAGCAAATATTTTTGACATAAGACTATTTATTTATAGATTTGATTTATATACCACCCCATTAGTGCAAACACTACTCTGGGCAGTTTACAGGTTAAAACCAAACCCCACAAGGCCCATGTAATTCAAACAATATGGTGACACAAAACTATAAAATTCTAAAAAAGGCAAGAAAAAAAATTACAGCCTCCTGAGACTCATTTGTTGAAGGCATTTTTAATAACTCAATTTTTACATTTTTTCTGAACATAAGGAGGGAATGAATCTGGTATATCTCAGTTGGTAAACTGTTCCAGAAACTGGGGGAAGCAACTAAAAAGGCCCAATTCCTTCTCATAAGATTTTTTTGCCTTTCCTCCTTATGGCCTCTTTTAGCAATATGGACTGAGAAGAGCAAGTGGAATGGGTAGCTGATTTCTGTGAGAGATGTTCCAACAAGTATCAAGGTCCTAAACCATTAAAGGCTTTATAAGTCATAACCAGTACATTAAATTGAGCATGGAAACTGATAGAGAGCCAATGAAGGCAAGCCAAGACTGGAGATTCATGATCAAATTTACTAGTCCTAGTAATCAGTCTGGCCGCTCAGTTTTGGACCTGCTAAAATTTCTGTACTGTTTTCAAGGGCACCCATACATAGATAGAACTAAAGTGGTTTATTTTTGAGATTACCAGTGTGTAAACCACTATTGATAGTTATCTCTAAATAATAACTAAAAGGTAACATAAAGCTGGTTTTCAAAAATATACGAAACAGGAGACCACTGACTGTCACACAAACCAATTGTTAAGAAGAATTCTTGTAGAACATACAGTGCAGCAGTTGTTGGTCAGCTGCTTTCTCATTTGTTCTAATGCACCTTCTGATTGAAATTATAATCCAAAACATTTTCTCAGAAGGAAAACTGCTTTTTTAGGAAGAACAATTTTGATTAGTGCTAAAAGAAACAAATAATCATGGCCTTCTCATGTTCTCTTTTTTCCTCAGATCTTTTCACTAGATGCTTACGTGTATTTCCATGGCCCTCACCACACCCTTGGTATAAAGCCTGAACAAGGCTATAGAGAAGACTCGCTATATAATTATTTTCTCTTGAAATGATGGAGGAAGGACGAGGAGGCTAATATACAAGCTTGTGAAACAAAGAAACTATAGGCAGTTTGAAATATGCCTCTGATGAGTTGGGTACTACATATCTGGAAAACAGATTTTTGAAAATGCATAAAATTATGCTTTTCCCAGTCCATATTTGTATCTTTGTCTTCTAAATTTGTTTGATTCTTGCTTTATATTTCAAGATATATAGGTAGATGTTTTGCAGCTAATCAAATCAACATTCTAGAAGACAATTCTAAAAATGGGGGCACTCCCAACAAGAATAAGGCTCACTACCATTTACACTTGTTGAAAAAAAGCCCCAATAATTGCTTTGTGTTTGAGTGAGAAGTGGTTAATTGATGAAAAAGGAGTCAGCTTCTGAGATTTTTCCCTTGTGTTGTGTCACTTTGTGAAAGAAAGTGAGCAGAAGAGGCTATTCTGTGTAGACTGACTGCAGCCATTGCTGTTGTCAGCATTCAGGCTGCACATTGCTATGTTCAGTTTGGCATCTTTTTCCCTGCTGGCAATGTGGGCGTAATATTGTGAAGCAATATCGGGCCATTTACTGGCATTTTGAATTGCAGGTGCAGAAGCCAATATCCCACGTTCATAAACTGAAGGTTTTTTAAGGACTGACTTTTATAGTACAGAGAGCTTAGTTGGAAGATGATCCATTGCAGGACCCAGACACCAGACATTGGGAAGAGTTCTTTGTGCCACTGGAGGAAGCAGCCCGAATATGCTGAGACAAGGTGAGGTGACTATAGGCGAGGTGGCTAGAGAACCAGTGCTGGATACGGCTCTGGCAGACGAAACAGCAAGGGCAAGCTGCCCTGTTGCTAGGTTGGCCTCATGACATGACTGTTTAATGATCTGTGATCTGTGTCGCGTCCCCCTAGTGTCCCTTGTTTGTTCTCCCCAAACACAGGTCCACCCTCAGGATGCGTTGCCTTGTTTTTTATGCCACCACCAGTGAATCTGTTCCACAATACATCCAAATATATCTCAGACACATGCTGCCAATATAACAGGTTTATTGATCATTTAGTTGGAATGTAAATCACAGATGTAAATCACAGTTGTTAAGGATCATTCATTAAATTGTATTTGATTACACGTTTACTTGTCTGGGTTTTATTCACGCTAACCTCTTTAACAATATTCTTTAATCATCTATCTATTTTCTATTACTTTTAACTCTTTCCTATTCTCTATAACACTCCAAGTTTCCACTCTCTGTCTTAACTCTCTCAATTCAAAGTCCTCACTCTCTCACTTCCATTCCCTATCTCTCTGTCTCTCTACCTCCCCAACTGTCCATCTAATTCCACGCCTCCTGTCCTATCACAGGCTCCTGCCCTTGAGCTCCATATGATGGACAGGAGTGACATGGGCATTCTGCCACAATCTGCTATGTTGCTAGATAGAACACTGCTATCTTTTCAGAATGAAATTAATACAGATCAGGTTAATATTGCATGCTTTAATAGGAATATCTAATGATCTGCTGGATGTCGTACATATTTTTATGATAAATAAGAGGCAAAAAAGCTGCCTTTCAAAAATATACAACCACTGAGTATCAAATGAACCAACAGCTGAGAAGAATTTTTGTGGAACATACAGCACCACAGTTGTCATTCAACTGCGTTGTCATTTGTTCTAATGCATCTTCCGAAGTCATCAAAATTAGAATCCAAGATAGTCTGCCAGAAGGAAAACTGCTTTCTTAGGAAGAAATCTGCAGGGAAAACAGATCACAATTTTGGTTAGTGCTAAAAGAAACAAATCATATCCTTCTCTGGAATGGTCCAAAGGGCCTCCCCATGTTCTCTCTTTTTTCTACTGTTTTCACTAGATGTTTACGTGCCTCTCCATGGCCCTCACCACACCCTTGAATATAAAGCCAGAACAAAGCTATAGAGAAGACTCAGAAGAAATCTGCAGGGAAAACAGATCACAATTTTGGTTAGTGCTAAAAGAAACAAATCATATCCTTCTCTGGAATGGTCCAAAGGGCCTCCCCATGTTCTCTCTTTTTTCTACTGTTTTCACTAGATGTTTACGTGCCTCTCCATGGCCCTCACCACACCCTTGAATATAAAGCCGGAACAAAGTTATAGAGAAGACTCACTATATAAAGGTAATTATTTTCTCTTGAAATGATGGGGGAAAGTTGAGGAGGCTTATCTTCACAAGAATTTGATTCTTTAAGAATGTTATGGAGAAGATACGGTCTTGTTCACAATAATTTACTAATTCCACAGATTTTTGTTCACAAGGAATCTAGCCTGAAATGAGATATTGCTATCATATTAGTGGCCAGAAGTCTGTACATGTTATCAAAAGTTCTATTTGCTTCTTAGATGAATTACAGGTTTCTTGTAACTTAGAAACAGCAACAACGGAATTCAATTTAATTAATTTCATGATAATTTGGTTGCTAGGCTTTCTATCAGTGCTAAAGAAATGTTTCATTCTAATTTCCTTCTAATAATACTTGGGAATTTTTGCCAGATCAGCTTTCTGTTCTTTAAATAACTATATTGTTCTAAAGAAAAAACACAGAAGTACGGAATATGTCAATATTTTCTTCAGAAGCAACATTGTAGCTTCCTTTGGAGAAATATTTTATGTGTGCTTTTGGAACATCTACAATAAACTATAAGCAACAAGCTGGCTGCACAGAATGAGGAGCGGAAGCAGGAGCAGAGAGGGAGGGAGGGTATGAGTCCCATATTCTGCAAACTGCTTCCCATTTATGCATATATAGTATGTCATATTGTTCTCTTTCTGGTTTGCCACCTTCTTATAGCACCAAAGCAGAGGAAGCTCTTTTCTCTGATTTTTTTAAGCAGATTATGCATATGCTTGGATGTTTGAGTCAATTTGCAGGAACTGATACCTGCCTTTGCATTTTGACGTGTAACAGAGGAGAGCTCACTTCTGCATAGACAAGCGTAGGATCATATTTTCAATGTGTGCTCCATGCCCTAACTGTTTCCAAATTGACACTGGGATCATGGCCTGAGGAGAGGGGGACAGAAATCATTCTTCTGTTAGAATGAATGTACCTTTTGATTATTAGAATTTCAGTCTGTACAGAATCTTGTTGGACGGAGATCAAATTCCGACATGATATGGAATTTCTGCAAGCATTTTGCCTAGTACTGCTTGCGTAAACCATGAGTCCATTTATGAGTAGTTTTGTAAACATTTCTATGGCTAGATACACTTGTATGTGTAGGGAAGCTGAGTCTGATGTTCTGATTCTTAAAAAAGGAATAAGTGCCTCTATTGTTATAAATGATATTCACACAGAACTATTTAAAGCATATATATTTCCCACTGATTTTGGATGTATTTGGCTGATTAAGAAACAGGTACAAAGATTTATGGATTATTGTTGGCTTTCATTGACCAGAATTTTGATTGAATATTTACAGCTGCATAAATTGTGGTGTAATTTGGAGTGTAGAACAACCATTAATTAAGTCTGGGACTTGATTTCTAATAGCATGCCACTTCTGTGACTCAGCATTCAAACAGGAATTCGATTGGAGGCTTATTATTTGCAGCTAGCTAGATACATAGATACATAGATAGACAGACAGGGAAAGAGATATCAAATGAAGGTCATGTTCTCACATTTTAAGAATTAGGAGTCGCGCTTGTGATGGCAGGACGACATAAAATTCCTCTTTCAGAATGGCATCCACAATCTTCCTGCCTACAGAAGCTACATCGAGGATAGGAAGTAGAAATGTAGGTCTGAAGAAAGATAAAACATTGAGTCAAGAAATGCTGGGGGGAAAACCGCCCTGGATCAAAGTAAGAGTTTTGACAAAAAAAATGATGAGTTCCATGCACCCACATGTATTTTGGCTCTTGTTCCTTGAGCACCAAGTTTCATTTGCCCAAGCTCTTTACTTAGTCTTTTGTAAACATGTGTGGATTGATTGCTTTTTAAAATCCAGGACTTACTTTATTTTTAAACCGGTAATTAATCTTGTATCCACATAACTAGGACAGACGATGGTGGTTTTAATGCCTTCCTTCCCTTTTTTCCTCAGTTCAAGGGTAAGAGACTCCAAAAAGCCAAATGCTGCATGTTTACTAGAAGAATAGACTGAAAAATGGAAAACACAGAAAAATTAAAACACATAACATATTTTTCCGTGTATAAAACAACAGTTTTTCCTTAAATGATTTGAGAAAAATTGAAGGTTGTTTTATACACGGAAGGCAGCTCTTTACCACTGCCTTTTGCGAAGGGCTCAGCAAAAAGGAAGGGGAGTTGTTGCTCTCTTCCTTTTTGCTAAGCTCCGTGACTTCTCGAAAGGCAAGGAAAAGTGGGAGTCACTTTGACTTTTGCCAAGGCATGGGGCTTAGCAAAAAGGGAGCCCTTTGATCCCTGCTTTTTCCAATTTGGCGTTAGGAAAGGGGGGGGATTGTCTTATACAGTGGGGTCTTGACTTGAGAACTTAATCCGTATTGGAAGGCGGTTCTCAAGTCAAAAAGTTCTCAGGTCAAATCTGCATTTCCCATAGGAATGCATTGAAAACCATTTGATCCGTATCTGCTCTTTTCCGTCCATAGAAACTAATGGGAAGCTGCTATTCTGCCTGATCCCTGCTTTTTCCAATTTGGGGTTAGGAAAGGGGGGGGGGATTGTCTTATACATTGGTTCGTCTTATAAACAGAAAAATATGGTAAACAAAAGGATGAGCAGTTCTGTATCCTGAATGTAATTAGAGAAAAATATCAGCTTTCTGACATCAGCTGAATTATTTTACAGCTCTCTTAAAACCCTAAACTCAATTCAGTATATACGTGCTTGTGGTTGAATGCATACTTCAATGTACAGAGCCGGTGTACTTCTAAACATCTTGTTTCCTGATGGCAAACAAGGAATGCTATCTGGCTTAATAACAGTAGAAACGCAAACAGTAGAAACAGGCTATCAAGTTATATTAGTTATATTCAAATGTCCAGGAAGAACATGTGGATTAGCTCTTCCTAAACACTTCAGAAGAGAGATGTGCATTTGGGCTCTAACCCAGTTCATTCCAGAGTAAGGGCACAGAGATTGGCACCCGATTCACCCTGTGCCCTTTCAGGGATACCTCAACCTGACCCTTGCCCCTGCTTGTATTATTAACCTGGATTTTCAGGGTGGGTGGGGAGGAAAATGCAAATAAAAAGGCCAGGTTATAGACTCAAGAAAAGGTGCAACTGCACCATACCCTGAAGTTTTGCCTCCCTCCCTCAAGGCAAGACAGAAGGGTTTGTGGTTATAATAAGGCAGCCTACAAAGCTGTCCTGTTTTCTTTCCCCCTTTTTTTATCCAACCACCAGTGAGATAACCCCACTGTCACTGTGAAGTGGAAGATTCCTAAATCAACCACAGAGAATACAGGCATTGAGGGACTTTAAAAAGGGCAATGGGGACAGTCTTGTATAATTTCTTTTTAGAAGAGTAATGCAGAAAGATATATTCCCTCAATTCTTTTCCTTGAGTAGCCAGTTCCACAAATTGAGGCAGTTCGTTCTGTACTAGTTCTGATACAATTAGTTCTGAGCTTTAATTACATAGATTAAAAAAAAATTACATCCTATTTTACTGACTTGTGGTTTGAGTGCCTCCAGAAAATGCTGCAACACTTGCAGTAGTAACCAAATGTCCCCGGTTGTGGGCAATCATGGCTGGCAGAAAGGCTTTGCAAGTCTGTGACATAGATGGGAAAATAATATTAGGCACGTTTCATAATATTTTAATAGAATAAATATTAATAGATCAATCATAAGTGGTTGTTCAGGATCTTAACACTGGTTTAACCTTTGAATATTTGGATTCAGACCATTAAGTAATTTCAGGAAAAAGTGGGAACTTTTTCATTCTACTGCTTTCAGTAAGTCTAAGAATACTGAACACTGTTTTATATGGAGGTATTTAGGAAGGGGGAAAAAGAAGTGCATATTAGGAGGAAACTGTTTAATATTATAAAGTAGTATGATTTCAATAAACTAATATTATTATAAATTAATTAGCATTATCACGATAATGAACACACAACCATCTTAGGGTTGCATTTTCTAATGTCAGCCATTGTGAAATGGAGTCAGATCCAAACAATACAAAATTAAAAACAATACCTGTAGTTACACATATCGACAAAAAAAGAATAATTACCCAGAAATGTGCCTCCGTGTTGGTTTTTAAGGTTTCTTCTACGTCTGAGTCAGAAAGTTCCATAAAAGGCTTCTTCTTCCATATGCCTGCATTGTTGATTAGAATATCTACATCTCCGACTTCTTTTCTTACCTACAGTAAAAAAAAGATCATTTGTGATTTCCTTGGGTAAAAGGATTCTAAAAAGACAAGAAAAGGGAATGTTGAAGAAAGAGGGAAAAGACAGAGAGCACAGAAGGCTAGAACATAATGTTTCGCTACCTTTATTTCTCAACAGAAATAAACTTTTTTTCCCTTGAAGAAACCTACTTTGCTTTTTCCAGGGCTGTTCTAAGTGATGTCGAATCTGGGCAGAACCCCTCCCCCATCTCAAACAGATATGGTGAATTGACCCCAGAAGATAAAAGGTGCAAGGAACATATTTTTCCTACCTTTATCCCCCAATGTATGGTCAAAATAGTAGAATGATAATTTATATAATGTATGAGTTTGGAAGAGTAAACCAGTCTACACGTAAGTGTACACCAGGTTTTCTTTATTTTTTTATTTTTTAATGATTGTGGTGATGGGAAAAGTCCTAATACAGTCACAATTAAGTCCCCTTGCCACTACTGCAATGTTGGTTAGAGTCCAGTTCAGACAGTTTCTTCTTGCATTGGATAGGAACATGTAGTGAAGCTAAATAAAATGGATGAGTTGTGTGAAACCTTACTATGGGTGGAATGGTTTATTATTATTTCTCCTTCATTTATATCAGAGCATTGCACAATTTAAAATTATGGACATGTATACAATATAGTCTTAAAGAAATGGGAGTGCCTGACCACCTTATCTATCTCCTGAGAAACCTATATGTGGGACAGGAAACAACAGTTAGAACTGGATATGGAACAACTGATTGGTTCAAAATTGGGAAAGAAGTACGACAAGTATATTGTTCCCCAGCTTATTTAACCTATATGTAGAATAAATCATGCAAAAGGCTGGACTGGATGAATCCCAAACCAGAATTAAGATTGCTGGAGGAAATATCAACAACCTCCGATATGCAGGTGATACCACTCTGATGGCAGAAAGTGAGGAGGAATTAAAGAACCCCTTAGTGAAAGAGGACAGCACAAAAATGGTCTGAAGCTCAACATAAAAAAACCAAACAAACCCTAACATCATGGGTCCCATCACTTCCTGGCAAATAAAAGGGAAAGATATGGAGGCAGTGACAGATTTTACTTTCTTGGGCTCCATGATCACTGCAGATGGTGACAGCAGCCATGAAATTAAAAGATGCCTGCTTCTTGGGAGGAAAGCGATGACAAACCTAGCAGAGACATCACCTTGCCGACAAAGGTTTGCATAGTCAAAGCTATGGTTTTTCTAGTAGTGATGTATGGAAGTGAGAGCTAGACCATAAAGAAGGCTGACCTCCAAAGAATTGATGCTTTTGAATTGTGGTGCTGGAGGAAACTCTTGAGAGTCCCCTGGACTGCAAGGAGAACAAACCTATCTAGATTGAAGGAAATCAACCCTGAGTGCTCACTGGAAGGACAGATCCCGAAGCTGAGGCTCCAATACTTTGGCCATCTCATGAGAAGAGAAGACTCCCTGGAAAAGACCCTGATGTTGGGAAAGTGTGAAGGCAAGAGAAGGGGAGGACAGAGGATGACATGAATTTGACCAAACTCTGGGAGGCAGAGGAAGACAAGGGGGCCCAAAGTGCTCTGGTCCATGGGGCCATGAAGAGTCGGACACAACTTAATGACTAAACAACAACAACATGCAATATAGATATAATTAAAAACAAATTTTTATGTGAAGTTAATTATACTATTTTTGACTAGAAGTAGTCTATTTCAATAGCGTTATCTTGGCCATATGCTATATCTTCGTTTGTACACACGGTGGGGCATAAATTGCCTGCAAATAAGTGCTGCATTGATTGAATTTCTCCATAATCATAGAAAATTTGTCTTGCATGTAGCCCATTTTACATTATTATTTCTTGATCATCCTACTTCACTTCAAAGTCTGTTAATTGGCTCCAAGATGGCCCAACTAGTGAATTGTCTTGATGGGAGACATTCTTTGGCATTCATCTATTGGGGGACTTATGTTGTTTTTGTTCCCTATAGGTTTAGCCTCTTCTGGTTTAATATTTACAGTAGTTTTCTTCAATTTTAGCTGTTACCTAGGGAGTTGGTGACAATGAAGTGGGTAGGTTTGGTGTTATATTATATTTTTCCATTCATTATTAACTAGCACCTCTCAGTGGTCCTCTGGAGAGCCAAAGCCAGCCAAATAGTAGACTTGTTCAATAAGGGTAGATTTCAGGCAGCCAGTAATAATCCTGCTTGATTCATTAAGAGCTGCATCCATGTCTTTGGTATGTGCTGACACTAGCATATTTTGCTGTTGAGTAGCACAGGGACAAAGCTGTTGTTATTGTTTATGGGTGTGCACCCTCATCTGACTCAGCCAGTTGCCTACGTATGTTATTTCTGGCAGCAAGTTCTGTTTGCTGTTTAAGCAATGTTTTCTGTAGGTCAGGGTTCAGTTGCCCAAATACTTGGGGTGGTGCAGTGTTCCATGATCCTGCAGTCCCAGCTAATTCAGAACTTCTTGTTTGCTTCTCTATCCCTTTAAGTGGAAGATACAGAGCTGTGTTTTTGAAAGGTTTGTTTTCAGCCAGTTGTTTTTATGATATAAAGAAAGATCTTCTAGGTGGTGCACAGTGGCTTCCAAGGTTTCCCTTGACACTGGACTGTCAAGGCAAGATCATCAGCACAGATGAAGTTTCTGGAGTATGGGAGTATTGGTTGATCATTTGTTTAAATGTTAAAAAGCAATGGTGCCAGGATGCTGCCCTGTAGCAGATGGTTCCTTTGATTTCTTCAGGCACTGTCCCTTCCTTGAAATTCAATAAAGAATCTTCATTATTGGAGCAGAACGAAAGCCATTTCTGTTATCCATGATCTTTAGTAAGGAGGTAGAGATTTCTGATCAGCAGTTGATGGTGAACAGCATCAAATGCT